TAAATTAAATATAGCAAATATATTATCAATAAATAAAAAAACTCAAAATTGGATAATTTCTAATTACTTGATAGACAACTTATTTTAAACACAACATAATCAAAGCATGCAATCAACGTTTTAGAGATGTATCAATGTCGATATTATCTACTCGCATGTAACAAATAAAGAAACAAAAAAGTATCATTTGTTACTAATACAACAAATAAAACTTATATTTGATTACAACTATCGTAATCATTATTTAGGTTATCATCTCTCGTCATCCAATGCATTTTCACACTAATTCTCATTGATGAATTTACTTTTTTGACATTGTCAATCTAAGATGTCTAGATTTTATTAGTGTAAGTGAAAGGTTTTAGATGGTAAATAGTAAGTAATTTAATTGATAAAATCATTTATTTAGTATCATATTAAATTATTTTATTGTTACTACTTTTTTTATTTATGTAATTCACTTTTCGTGAATCATCGTCCAATAAATTTAAAGGATCAATTAATTTAGTCACCTTAAAATATTAATCTTAATTCACATCAAACCTAATAAAATTATTTCTAATTCAAACCTACTGAATTTAACCATAAATTCAAATTAACCAAATTAAATTAACCCTAACTAACTATATTAATCCTAATTCAAACGAGTTACTAAATTTTAAGTATCCATATTAATTAATAAAATACAATATTATAATCAAAATTTACCTAATAAATTCAACTAAATGTAATTAAATTAATTCTAATTCAAACGTTTATTAAATTTTAAATATAGATATTAATAAAAAAAATTATAATATTACAATAAAACTTTACCTAATTAATTTAATAATAAATTCAACTAAATGTAATAAAATTAATTCTAATTCAAACGTAAGTAAATGCTAGATAAAAATTAATTAAATACACTAATACATAGATACATACATACATACATACATACATACATACATACGTACATATATATATATATATATACATACATATATATATATATACATACATATATATATATATATATATACATACATATATATATATATATATATAACACCAATAATTAAATCCTTAATCAAAATTAACCAACTAAATTTTTAACCACAAATTTAAATTAACCAAATTAAATTAACCCTAACTAATTATATTAATCCTAATTTAAGTGTTTATTAAATTTTCAATATCGATATTAATTAATAAATTACAATATTATAATCAAAATTTACCTAATTAATTTAATAATAAATTCAACTAAATTTAATTAAATTAATTCTAATTCAAAAATTTATTAAATTTTAAATATCGATATTAATTAAAAAATTACAATATTATAATCAAAATTTACCTAATTAATTTAATGACAAATTCAACTAAACATAATAAAATTAATTCTAATTCAAAGGTAATTAAATTATACGTAAAAATTAATTAAATATATTAAAATATAAATGACATTAGTAATTAAATTCCTAATCAAAATTAGCCGACTAAATTTAACCATAAATTCAATTAACCAAATTAAATTAACCCTAACTAATTATATCAATCCTAATTCAAACATTTATTAAATTTTAAATATCGATATTAATTAACAAATTAAAATATTATAAATAAAATTAAAAAAATGAATCAAGATTTACCTAAGTAATTTAACAATAAATTTAACTAAATGTAATTAAATTAATTCTAATTCAAACGTTTATTAAATTTTAAATATCGATATTAATTAATAAATTACAATATTATAAGCAAAATTTACCTAATTAATTTAATAATAAATTAGAGTAAATATAATAAAATTTAATTCTAATTCAAATGTAATTAAATTGAAGATAATAATTAATCAAATACATTAAAATGTAAATAATATCAATAATTAAATCCTTAATCAAAATTAACCTACTAAATTTAACCACAAATTCAATTAACCAAATTAAATCAACCCTACCTAATTATATTAATCCTAAATTAAATAGTTAATAAATTTTAAATATCGATATTAATTAAGAATTTACAATAATATAAATAAAATTAAAAAAATGATTCAAAATTTGCCTAATTAATTTAAAAATAAATTCAACTAAACCTAATAAAATTAACCATATTTAAATTAACCTTAATTCAAATCTAATTAAATTTTAAATATCGATTAATTAACCAATTGGACTATAATTAATATTAAAAACCAATCAATCAATTCAAATAACCATAATTAAATTAATCCTAAATCAAATTAACCCAAAATTAAATCAACTTAATTAAATTAATCCTAACTAATTACATTAATCTTAATTGAAATGTTAATTAAATTTTAAAATAACAACAAACAAATAAACTATATTAACCTAATAACTAGTAAAAACAATTAAAAAAATAACAATTTAACAATTAATTAACAAAATTTTAACCTACCAGCTTGATAAAAAATAACTTAAAAATTAATCAACTAATTTATCTAAGTTACCTAAAAAATTACATAATTAAAATTTAACACAACATTAACAATTAACAAAATTAAACAATAATTAAAAAAATTAAACTAACAATTAATGAAATTAACCTAATAATTAACCACATTAATGTAATTAGAAAAAAAAAAAAAAAGATCTAGGGAGAGAGAGAAAACAAATTACCAAAGGAGAAGAGGGGGAGGAGAGACTACCGACGGATTATGGGGAGAAAGATGCGCCTTGTCGTATTGAGGGGGCTAGGGAGGAATTGGGGTGGCATGGGGTAGTGGTTGGGGGAGGGGGGTGGCGGTAATAGAGGAGGAGAGGTAAAGCTGGGAAATAAGAGGGGCGAGAAAGTGTCCGTAACTTTATAGGGTTTTAGGATTAGTGATGGATGCATTTCCATAGCTAATCCATCATTAATTAGCGATGGAATTAAGTGTTCATCACTAATTTGAATTTCAAACGATCGTCTAAATTGTCTAGAAAGATTTAGAAATTTGCACAAACAATGATGAAAACATGTTTTTGTCGCTAATCCATCGTTAATTCGCGATAAAACAATCATTTTGTCGCTAAGTTGAATTTTAACCGACCACCAATACTCGTTTAAAAATTTCTTGGAATTTATGCATTTATCGACAAAATAGTATCGGCGACGATTAGTGACAAGTAGCAATGGATAATTTTCGTTACTTGGCCAACGATGCTTTTAACAATGGAATCTCTATTTCGTCGTAACATTCCCTCGTTAATCCATCGCAATTCCATCATTGAATTTGGTGTGGATTTTTTTCACGTTGTCGAGCGATGGAATTGTTTTCATCGCTGCATTTTTGTCGCAAAACCATCGCTAATCCACTCGTTAAATAATGCATTTTCGATTTCATCACTATTCAATCGCTATTTAGTAGCTAAATGGAAATGAAATTGAATCGGTCACTAATTGCCTATTTCTTATAGTGTGATACGCCAAATATAATCATCCTTCAAGTAATAAAATAACTTATAGATAGCTTTTCACGTTGGAGACGCCGCCTAAAGAGGACAATGAACCATGAGCGACTCACCATATAAGTATTTCGGGATAGAATACAAATCCGTAGTTTATCCGTCTATTGAATCAAATCCAATCCTCATTTTTCTAACATTACAATGTTATTGTCCCTTGCCATCCAAAGACCTAGATCACCTCTCTTTTCGAAGTAGTAACGGACTCCTAATCGATCGGATGAATGCCGAACCATCCTCGAGAGACCCCCACAAGGAAACCCCTAGCTAGACGATCAATCGGATTGCAAAGGATGGAATGAAGCCATACCGACCGTATTGTGTAGAGGGGGATGGTTGAGAGTGCTCGATTGAATCGAGAGCAACGACCAACCTTGCTCAATAATTTAGCTTTCCATCTCACTAGATGATAGTGAATCTTTTCGGTGATGTGCTTGAAAGAGGATTACCAAGTAACTTCCCAAGTTTGAAATAAAGGAGAAGTTCAAACATTTCCTTAATTTCTCTTAGTGCCGACGAGATGTGTAAGGAGCGATGTAGACATGGGTTTTCTAATCATTAATTAGCATCCTTGAGCTTGCACTGAATTGCTTCATAGTATCTAATACCACTTTACAATGTTGATGAGAAGCATGGAAGAAAATCACTTTGCGAGTGTTATTCATGAACAACTATTGCTTACATTTTCAAGTGATCCATTCCTTTTTTGCACAAAACAAAACGCTTGGAAAATTATATATATGTTGCACTTTAAATTATAATTCATAACTATATGTAAAAATACAAATTTTATCTCAATTACTTAATAACATATATTCCAAATCAAAAGATTTAAACATCTTCGAAAAAGATGGACTTCAAAGATTAGTTTTTAAAATCATAAAATTATATCAATAAAAATTAGCTCAACAAATTTCATTTAAATATTTTTAAATAAACTAATTTTTCAATAACATAAATAATGCACATAGAATGCATGTTTCAAAATTTTATTATTTTTATTTGATGTTATTTTTAGAGTTTTTACATGTTTTGGTTGTTTTAAAATTACTAATTTTAAAACAACCAAAACATGTAAAAACTCTAAAAATAACATCAAATAAAAATAGCAAAATTAAGATAAAATAATCATGAAAGTGAGTTTTTTTTTAAAAAAAAACAACATATCTAAATGAGGATTTTAGCAAGAGAGAGGTGAGTAGAATTGAAATAAGAATGAGAGAGAAGATTGTAGATCATTGGAGGGAAGTTCTCATTTTTAGGATGGAAGTTTTTAATTTAAATTAATATTTTCTCAATTAAAATTAGATTTATTATTTTTTAAATTAAATTAATGCCAAATCACGTTTTCAATTGGTTTTAAAAAAAAATATGAATTTTTCAAATTTATTTGTAGCATGTCTAATGGGACATAATCCTTGATTTTCATGGCCATGTCGTGAGATACATCGAATCGTAAACAAACCTTAATCCAATTGCCAATTATGATGCTGTCTCGCAAGTCCAGATCCAACCCTGAAAAACTAACGGCAAAATGAAAACATGGCTACGCTGATGTCTTCCACTTCATTCCTGGGATTCCCATTCCCCAAACCCTTCTCCTGCTTCACTCCTTTGTCAGGTTTCTTTCAAATGACTGTCAATTTCTTCTCTCAATTTCATCAAAACCCATTTTATTTATCTCTTTCTATAATAAAATAACCTTTTCTTTTCTTTTCAAATTTGTTTCCTGTATTGATAAAAAAATACTTGCAGATAAATGGAACACACTTAAATTGGGTTCAAGGAGCTCACATTCTATGGAAGAAAACAACAATAAGGAAACCCATTTCCGCTACAGTTCTCGTGTTTAAAGGTGTTCTACTTCTTCCACTTCTGGGTTCACAATGTCATCAGGTGGCGGCACTTATAAGAAATCGAAGAGGGTATGGATATGGACAGAAAGCAAGCAAGTCATGACTGCTGCTGTCGAAAGAGGTTGGAATACCTTCATCTTCTTGTCCAAGCATAGACAGCTTGCTATTGAGTGGTCATGTAAGTGCTCTTTTAATTAATCCTCCTCCTCTACATTGTTTTCCATGCTATAATTACTAATTAGGATATGAGTTTTAGCAGTAATCTTGTATTATAAGTAGTGCACTGTAAGAGATGATCAATAAATGGAGCAAACAGCATGGTGTGTACAGCAATCGCCTTTAGATATCGTTATTTAAAATTTAATAAACGTTTGAATTAGAACTAATTTAATTACATGCTATTTAGTGAGGAAGGAGAAGTTTTGGATGGCGAGAACATAAGGGTTGCCACTATTTTTTAGGTTTCAACTCCCCAAGAATTGCAGCAGCTTCAACCAGAAAATGGGCAGGCTGAGAATGTTATTATTGATCTATTGGATTGGCAGGTATGGATGTTCGATTTCTCCTTATTGGGAGAATCTGTTGTCAGTAGAATTTTACCAACCAATAAGTCAATAACCATCCTTTATTGTTCTGGACGTGCTTGTTTTATTGAGAGAACACTGTGCTTATCCAGTGGAGGAGAGGATATAAAGAACTGCAATTTTTTTTTTTAATTTTACAAGCACCTCTCCCTCGAGCACTATGTAATAATGTGGATGCTGTCTTTTCTAGCTGTTACTCTATTAACAAATACATTTTACACCTAAAAATTGCTTCAAACTTTAAAAATAAAAATCTGCTGGATGTCTCTTGTTATTCATGAGCATCTGTTGCTTGCATTTTCATGTGATCCATTCCTTTCATAAGAATCACGTGAACATGCTTTAAATTCTTGTATTTGTAGGCCTTGGAGCATGGTTTGGGTGGAGTTGTTCTAAAAGTTGAAGATGTTGAAGCTTTTCTTAAGTTAGAGGTAATTCTATTTCTGGATGGGGCCCCTTGATTCATAAGCAGTAAAGATTGCTTCTTATCCTGGTTAATATTATCAGGACTATTTTAACACAAGGAATGAAGCAAACAATCTGTTGGGCTTGACCAAAGCCATTGTAACTAGAGTTCAAGTAACCCAAATGGGTGGTCGAGTTTGTGTGGATCTCTGCAGCCTCATGAAACCTGGTGAAGGACTTCTGGTACCCTTCTAGTTCCTCATGTAGGATCCTTTGCATCCCATTTTTTTTTTCCTTGAGCTTGTTACTTGAGCTTGTTACATATTATCGATTATGATAGCATGAATATTCCGTCACAGTTGGTTCCTTTGCTAGAGGATTATTCCTTGTTCACTCAGAGTGCTTGGAGTCAAATTACATTGCAAGCAGGTCTTTCCGTGTTAATGCGGTGAGTTGTTTCTTCTGCTGGCAACAATATCTTGATGACTGTTTTCTTTCTGAAAATTTTGGCATTCACTGTAATATTCAGTCTGGGTTCTTAAATTGTTGCATTAAGCATGACAACAATGCAATTCAAATAATCTGATTCAGAAAATATTGATTTCACTGCTTTCTGTTATGGTTCAACATTGGCAAGGACTTGAGAAACTTGGGCTGAGAACAATTGAAAATCAAATTAGTTGATCTGACTTTTTTACCATTACAAATTGTAGTTTAATTTTGTGAGTTTGTTTTGTTCCGTTTTGATAATTAGATATCCAAAAAGTGTCATTTTGATAATTGATTGATTTCCCGAGTGCCACTTTTGGATTTTAAATAACGTTTTGCATTTCCTTATTTATTTATTTTTCTTAGTTTGGCGATATACTATTTTGGTTGGAAATATTTGCTCTCTCATAATTTTGAAGTTTGTCAGAATAATTTCTCCCATACCCTTGTTATTTTAGTAAGATGATTTCCATATGAAAACATTTGTACTTACGAAGGTGGAAATGAATCAAGAATCATATGCTATTGATGTAGAATGGGTGTGCAGAAGCAAGAGAATGATAAATAAGCCTTTGAAATCCACTAGGAAATCCTTGAAACTACAGGCAGGATAAAACACAGAAGGGTTAGAGATCTACTTCAATCAACATGAGGCAATTGACCTCTAAGTTGACAATATAAAACTCAGATGCTCAATTTCCTTAAACAAAATATCATCATATGAGGTGGTCTATATAGGTCCGAAGTAACCATGAAGTCCTAATTCTTGTATAGAAAAAAATTCGACTTCAAGTCTACTAAATAATGATGAATTTGTGGGAAATGCTTACATATTAGCAGATGAAAACTCTTCTTATTTTAGCAACTCTTTTCCAGGTGTGCATCAGTTTGATTATGAATGAGACCATTGCTTCTTACAGCCCATTTTTTCAAAGTAAATGAAACCACACAGGAAGCTTCTTTGCATTACTAGGAATAATGTGATAGCTTGCATCGGCTAAAACTAAAATCTCATGTAAATTTGCTTTGTGGAATTATTCAAATGAGATACAATATCACGAACTATGAAGTTCGAAGGAAATTTCCGATGTTCAAGTATTGGGAGTTCTATTTGGAGTATTTTCTGGTTCATTTATTCTGTGATGTATGTTACTCTATTTTACCAAGTTATCTGATGGAAATTTGCAGGGACCAGTACATGCATATGTCTCAACTCCAGGTGGAAGGACTAGCTATCTTTCAGAGCTAAAAGCAGGTAAGGAAGTTGTCATGGTTGATCAGAAAGGGCAGCTGCGAACTGCAATTGTTGGCCGTATAAAGATAGAAACTAGACCTCTTATCCTTGTTGAGGCAAAGGTATGTATCAATATACCATTACCAAGCCTGGTCTATTGTTCTTCTAAAATATTACAAATCCACATACAGTGAAAAATTGAGTACTTACAGACACTGCAATTTGTTTATCTGAACCATCTCAATATATCATCTTCTTGGTAAAATGTTACCGCTAACAACTATCTTCAGCGTGATTAAAGATTGAACAAGGGGAATTTTAAGTCAGTTGGTCAGAACTAATTAAATTAATTAGTAAAGAGTAATAAGTTGCAATTCAAGATGGTGTAGCTACTAACTACTACTTTCCTGCAGAATTATGTTAAAGAACTTGTTGATGCTGATGGGAAAAAAATAGTATTCTAAATCTTGTAGAATGTTTGGTGTTACAGATTGAGTCAGATGATCAAACTCTGTACAGCATTTTCCTCCAGAATGCAGAAACAGTTGGCTTAGTCCATCCATTTGAAGGTCTGTAAGGACTGCTATTTTACTTTCTGCATGTTTTGAGTTATTTATTTGTTCAATTGTTTCTCTTCATCTTGCATATTTGAATAGTCTAAACCCAAACTATCTTCTGCAGGAAACGGACTGCTAAAAGAAGCGATTCCTGTCACTTCACTGAAAGTTGGAGATGAGGTATTGTTGCGAATACAAGGAGGTGTTGGACATACAGGAATAGAAATTCAAGAATTCACTGTTGAGAACTGAATAATGTAAAGGATCTGATCATACAATCTAAATTAGTTGATGAGAATATGGACTGTGAGGCCAAGCTGCAGCAAAATTGGCTGCATCAACATAGTTAACCTGATGAATTAATTTGCAACATGCTTGTCCGAAAATCCAGTGCCTTCTCCAATCAGTTGGAAAGGTGAGTATGAATCAAATCACAAGTCTCTTGCATGGGATGTATGCCATTGTAACTATTGTTTTTCGTTGAAACGGTGCGTGTTGGATATTTTTCCAGGTCTTGAACCCATGTGCTGGTGCAAGTTCAAGGCCAAAAATTTTCTGGTCTTCCAATACTGACAATCTTGACTCGACTACAAAAAAAAGTTTACATTTCCAATTAGACATTGCAAGAGGATCTCTTTCAATACCTACCTGTATTAGCATTATTATTTCTACTGGATCTCTTTCCATGAAAGGAGGAGGATACATAAACTGATTTTCTTCTTAATTTCCATATGCTGTTGATATAATATTATTGGTGGAAAAAGAGAGGTGGAGGACCGGATAGAATTAATGTCCTTTTATAGACGCTTTAATTGGGTTAGAAAACGGAATCCCGCGTGGACCCATACATCATCAGCGTTGGTTTGGAAATTAAGTGTGGCAGTGAACAAGAAAGACCAGAGGAAGTTGCCTTGGAATTAGAGAATGAGAAACCCATGAACCTTTAAATTTAGCATTTTTCATTGAAATCAAGCATTAAACACAAGCATGGTGTCCCTCTATTATGAGTCGCAACTTCTTGCAACTATAGGCATCACATTTCTCTTGTCACGTATTGTGGTTCCACTTGACTCAGCCTTGCTAGCATCAGAAGGCAAGGCTTTGCTTGAGAGTGGATGGTGGAGTAACTGCAGCAATCTCCCTTCAGATCATTGCAGGTGGCCTGGTATAGTTTGTAATGAGGCTGGAAGCATCATTGGGATTTCTCCACCTTCAAAGTTCCTCAAGGTGAGAACTAAGTTTGGGAATATGAACTTTTCTTGCTTCTCAAACCTTGTTCATCTCGACTCGGCCAACCATGAGCTCAGTGGAGGCATCCCACCTCAAATTTCTGTCCTTTCAAAACTCGGGTATCTCAACTTCGTCCTTGAATGGTCTAGCAGGTGAGTTACCTTCATCTTCACTTGCGAATCTTAGCCGGTTAGTGAAACTTGACATTTGTTACAATTCTATGTCCAGTTCTATCCCTCCAAAATTAGGCAATCTTAAAAATCTTGTTGTTTTGAACATATCCCACAATGGCCTTTTCGGCACCATCCCTTCAACACTTTGTAATTTGAGCGATCCGACGCACTTGGTCATGGATTCCAATTCTCTTGGAGATGTCATCCCTAGAGAAATAGGAAATATGAAAAATCTAGAGAGTTTGAACCTTGGTCATAATGAACTTACCGGTCCAATCCCTCAAACACTTGGGTAGTTTAGTTAAATTGAGGTTTTTAAATCTTTATGACAACGGAATCAATGGATCCATCCCTTCGTAAATAGGAAATTTGGGAAACCTTGAAGAGCTAGATCTCGGTCGAGTATCCTTGTTGGTTCCATTCCTATGGAAATAGGAAATTTGGAGAAGCTTAAAAAGTTAGATCTCGGTTACAATAACCTTGTTGGTCTTATTCCTTTTACATTGGATCGTTTATTCGGTTTGAGTTTTCTAAGCCTCTGTTCTAACCAAATCAAGGGATTTATATCGTCGAATTAGGAAATTTGACAATGCTTGAATGGTTAGATCTCGGTGATAATAACCTTGTTGGTTCCATTCCTTTAGAAATAGGAAATTTGACAATGCTTGAATGGTTAGATCTCCATGACAATAACCTTGTTGGTTCGATTCCTTTAGAAATAGGAAATTTACGAAAGCTTGAATGGTTAGATCTCGATCACAATAACCTTGTTGGTCCTATTCCTTCTACATTGATTCTTTTATCCAGTTTGAGTTTTCTAAACCTCGGTCATAACCAAATCAAGGGATCCATTCCTTCGAATTAGGAAAATTGACAATGCTTGAAGAGTTAGTTCTTAATTTTAATTTCTTTGTTGGTTCGATTCCTTTAGAAATAGGAAATTTAGGGAAGCTTGAATGGTTAGATCTCGATCACAATAACCTTGTTGGTCCTATTCCTTCTATATTAGATCGTTTATCCAGCTTTGATTTTTCTAGACATCGGTACTAATCAAATCAAAGGATCCATTCCTTCGGAATTAGGAAATTTGAAGCATCTAAATGTCTTGTACCTACATTCCAACAAGCTCACTCGGTTTGATTCCTCATACATTAGGCAATTTAGCCAACTTGAGTGATCTTGACCTTTCTAGCAACCGGATCATAGTGGTCCATCCCTTCATCATTGGGGAATTGCTTACATTTAACAACTCCGGATTTGAGTCGCAACAACTTAAGTGAAGAGATACCTTCCCAATTATATAACTTGCCGTTAGATTTTGTCAATTTTAGCTACAATAATCTATCGAGCTTCATTCCAATTGATTGGCCTCCTCTCTTCGGTGTTCCCGTAACATGCAATTCTTTAAATGACCAAAGCATACATGATCCCGAAACCTATCATCTATCGCATTTGAAGGCAACATTAATCTTCAAGTTAATTTGTCAAGTTGTTCACCTCCAACTCCAAGTGCTCCATTCTTACATCCAAAACACGAGTAAAAACATCCATTCCGTCGAAATATTTCTTCCCATTACCATCACTATCGCCATTTGCCTTTTTCTCTCTATCCTTGGATGTTATTTGCTCTCTCAATGTAAGGGCAAAGCTACCAAAGTTGAGTCAACCACATTGAAGAATGGAGACTTATTTTCCGTATGGAATTATGACGGGAAAATTGCATTTGAAGACATCATTACAGACGACGGAAGACTTTGACATTAGATATTGTATTGGATCCGGTGGTTATGGGAGTGTCTATAGAGCACAACTTCCAAGCGAAAGAGTAGTTGCCTTGAAGAAACTTCATCGTCGAGAGGTCGAGGATGCGAGTTTTGACAAGAGTTTCAAGAATGAGGTGAAACTGCTCACACAAATACGACACAAGAGCATCGTAAAGCTTTTCGGATTCCGTTTGCACCAACGATGCATGTTTCTCATTTATGAATACATGGAAAGGGAAGCTTGTTTTGTGCCTTGAGAAATGATGTTGAAGTCTGTGGAACTAAATTGGATCAATAGAGTGAACATCATCGAGGACATTGCTCATGCGGTATCTTACTTGCATCATGATTGCTCTCCACCAATTGTTCATCGAGACATATCAAGCAACAATGTTCCGTTGAATTCGAATTAAACGCTTTTGTTGCTGATTTTGGTGTGGCTAGACTTCTTCTTCCCGATTCATCCAACAATACTCGTTCTTGCAGGAACTTATGGATACATTGCCCTGTGTTTAAATATTTCTTCTTAGTACATATTGTGCACCACTCCTATACCGATTACGCATAATGAGAGAAGCAATAATTCTACCACAATAAACTAATTAGATGACTGGATAAGAAAAAGCTTATAAAAAGTCAAAAAATTTGATTGCTAATCACAAAAGTTAGAAAAAAACAACCTTTTTATCTAGTTATTTTTGTGATTTTGGGGAGGCCAATTGGAAGAGAAAATCATCTTCTCTAGAGCAACTTATCTTATCATTAACGAGTGTAAAGAAGATTTTGAAAAGTTTTAGAGACCCATTAATTATCTAATGTACGAAATTTATGCGGAAAATGGTAATTGTTGTAAGGTCTTTACACAGTTCGCTTATGTAGATAATCTTGTATTAATTCTATCTCATTTTGTTGATGGGCGAATTTGCTTATACTATGGAGGTGACTAGAAACCGTGATGTTTATAGTTTTGGAGTTGTGGCATTGGAAACACCGATGGGAAAACATCCGGGAGATCTCTTATCATCATCATCTCGCTCCAGCTATAACTTTGAGTCAAGTGTTAGATCCACGTCTATCACCTCCAAGAAATGAAATTCTCCAACAAAACATAATTGTCATTGTTGCTCTAGCATTTTCCCGCATCTATGCTAAGCCAAAATCACGACCTTCCATGAAATTCGTGTCTCAAGAATTTGTATCCGCCGATAGACCATCGATCGGCTCTTTTTATGAGATTTCTTTGCTAGAGTTGCAAAGTCTTGGCATGCAATATCTAACAAGTGAGACAAGGTCACATATGCCATACCATCAAGATGAGAGCCTCATTGAGATGTCAAATTTGACCTACTCGTTGAACTTCAAGGAGAGCTTCTAAGAGAGCGTGTTTGATGGTTGTTCTTCTTTTATGAAAAGCTAAATATTTGTCTTTTTTCCGACATTAGTGAACTATATATTTTTGTAATATTTTATGTAACAAGGAGAACTCGTATGCATAAACCTTTTTCCATTTAATATCTAAACCATAAATATAGAATGATTGCATGCAATCATTCCTTTGGGTTATGTGACATTAGTTAGTCAACCTTGCAAGTCAAGCTAATCAAGATTGACGAATGGTTTACCTAACATGAAACTAATGTGTATATATATTAACCATAAATCATTTGTTAGTACTTGTATACATGAAATTTGATCAACCAAATATTTTCATTAATTTTATTATTAGAATGCTAATATGACAGCTTAACTTTTCATTAAGTGGGCTTCGTGTTGATATAATTTTAATATTTTCTATGTTTTGCAAAGACAATGACATTTAAATCACTTGAATTTGATCGATCAAATTCCTCAATTGGTTTATATTACAAATATATCGATATTGCAGCTTATTTCTTGATAAAGTGGGCTAGGTATTAGAAATTGATACGGATAAATGACATATGAAGTAATGCATTTCATAATTTTTTTTAAGATAAATAACTTAATACATTTTTATATATAATTTGACAAATCTCCTATATGTATCTACGTTTTTAATTATGCCTATTATAATACTAATTCTCCAATATGTCATGTTGTCTAATTTTTCCATATATATATATATATATATATATATATATATATATATATATATATATATATATATAATTTTTTTAAATGTCCTTAAACAATATAAGAATATAGTTTTAATTTTGAAAAAAATAAAAAAATTATTTCTTAAAATTTTAATGGTTGAGTAATTTTGAATTTTTTTTCTTAAAACATTTTAAGCAATTTTGAATGTTATATCCTTATATAAATCAAGGGTATTTGTGAAATAAAATATGTAGTTCTATCAATTTGGATGAAAAAACTTAACAATATGACTTATTAGAGAATTACTTATTATACTCTGATGCATATTTCCTCTATTTAAAAAAAAAAAAAAAATTGTATGAAGCAATAGATATATTAGAAACTTATGGATATATTGGACACTTGTAAAATTATATAAAAGTAGATAAAGTTATTAATGTACTTTTTCTATTTGAGTACTTGTATTATTTTTTGTAAATAACAAAAAATTTTAAAAATAATAAAACTAAGTAACTAATTAATTAGGTGAATTTATATTTATGTTACTCATAGATAGGGTTTTTTAAGCTTCTATTGTTGAATAAAATTAAACCCTAATTAACGAGTGAGGATAATATAAAATCACTTAATTAATTAATTTATTAGTTTTATTGGTTTTCTTTTCAATTTATTTATTTTAAATTTCTTGATGGAAAAAAATGTTGAAAAATGGCAAAATCATGGTTATTTCAAACACATTGACCCACTTGTATTGAAAATAATCGATCGTTAGGTGATTTGTAACGATAGTTTGTGAAAGTACTTGATTGATCTAATTTTATAAGTATAAATACTTAACGAAAAAAATAGTAAATATACTAAAATAGAAAAAATATAAAATAAAATTATTTTGTTAAAAAATAAAAAATATTAAAATAATATCAACGTAAGCCCACTTTACGAAGATTTAACTCGTCACGTCAACATTCTATAACAAAACTAACAAATGCCCTTAATTGATCAAATTTTATAAATACAAATATTTAATAAAAATTAAAGGAATACATATACTTCAAATGCCATTATCTATTTTTTTAAAAAAAATAGATAATTTCTCAATCATTTACTCGAAAAATACAAGGCACTATGAAATCATACAAATTTGAATCATCTTTTCCCCTCCCTCCCTTTTTTTTTCTTTTCCTAAATTGAAATATTTTTGGAGTAAATTATAAATTAGTTCCTCTAGTTTTAAGAAACAAATTAATTAGTCCTTTTTGTTTCAAAAATATTATTTAGTCTTTTAATCGAGTGTTGACCATGTTTAATATGATATTATTTTTATTCCACAAAATCTCTTATTTTCTCATTAATATTTTCATTTTTTATATTTTTTTCTTTTTCTATTTCTTAAAACAAAAGGTCAAAATAAATTTTTTTTTAAAAAAAAACATGATCTATAGTATAGTCTTTGCAAAGTTGGCATAATTGATATTATGTAAGGTAAAGGAATAGACTTAGGTATAAGAAAAAGAATTTATGTGTTAAGGAAATGAATGCATTTATGTTTATGGAAAGGAAAATTGTAAAGAAAATATTGTAAAGCAAACAAGACCTTGTATGTGGAGGGGTATCCAAGGGAAAGGCTAGCAAGGAAAATGATCTAATAAAAACTTTTTGCAAGAGGTGCGACGACAATGATCTAAAAAATATCCTTGTGTGCCAAATGAAAGAGGGCATACTAAGAAAATTATCTAGTGAATACTCTTGGTGTGTAAAGGAGATAGTGTGGTGGATACCTTAGGATATTTTAAGGAGAACATGTCGAGAGAAAGATCTAAATGGTATGTAAAGAAAAATGATCTAATATATACTCTTAAACTATGAAAAGAGGACTCACAAGAGAATGATCTAGTGCATACTCTTATGAAAATGATGGAAAAAGGATGTTGCACTATAAAGATGAAAAATAATTAGCGGATTCATGAATAGAGGTTTAGAACCATTAGGTTTAATGATCAATTATTAGGAATCGTTCATGTTAAATGATTGATGATAATTGAAAAATAGTGATCGTGATAGAAATTTCGAGGATGGAATTTTTATAAGGAGGAGATAATGTAATATCCGCGACCTAAGAACCTTTTTAAAAATAAATATATTTGTAAGAATAATTTATTTAATTAATTAATAAATATTTATTTAAAGTAAGGATTGATAAATTATGTTTGAATAAAGAATAAATTAATACAAGTATAATTATTGTGGAGTGTAAATGAATTAAAATATGAATTAGAGGATTATAACATTAGAGATACATGCCCGAGTAAGAATGCTATGGTCCGAAAGGAATAGCTAATAATATTGTTTAGATAGCAATAAATAGAGTGAAGCAAATGCTTAAAGTTAAATACGCTTTAAGGATGTTTTACTTAAATAATAAAGAGATATTTAAATAAAGTAAGAAATGTAAGTTTATACTTTTATTAAGGATAAATTAAATACAAGTTAAGCAACTTTAGGGACTTTAACTACTCTTGAAAAGTTTTAGAATAAGGGCTAGATTGTAGAAAATTGTGAGGTTTTGGACTGAAATTGGTGGGGCAAATTGTAAGAATTAAAAGTTTAGGGACTATAGTATAAAATTATGATAATTTAGGGGACTAGTCAATTGAGTTTGGGAGACTAATTCCAGCAAGAATAATTTGGAAAAATAGAGATAAAAGTGGGCTG